TGCTTGCACCACCATGCTTCACTGTCTTCACAGTGTACTGTGGCTTGAATTCAGTGTTTGGGGGTCGTCTGACAAACTGTCTCGGCCACTAGACCCAAAAAGAACAATCTTACTTTCATCAGTCCACAAAATGTTGCGCCATTTCTCTTTAGGCCAGTCAATGTGCTCTTTGGCAAATTGTAACCTCTTCAGCACACGTCTTTTTTTCAACAGTGGGACTTTGCGGGGGCTTCTTGCAGATAGCTTGGCTTCACATAGGCGTCTTCTAATTGTAACAGTACTCACAGGGAACTTTACACCTTCTTTCATCTTCCTGGAGCTGATTGTTGGCTGAGTACTAGCCATTTTAGCTATTCTTCTATCCATTCGAATGGTAGTTTTTCGCTTTCTTCCACGTCTTTCAGGTTTTGGTTGCCATTTTAAAGCATTTGCGATCATTTTAGCTGAGCAGCCTATCATTTTCTGCACTTCTTTATATGTTTTCCTCTCTCCAATCAACTTTTTAATCAAGGTACGTTGTTCTTCTGAACAATGTCTGGAACGACCCATTTTCCTCAGAATTTCAGAGAGAAACCAGCATGTACAACATTTGCTGCCTTCCTTCCTTAAATAAGGGCAATATTTGCCACCTGTTTTTCAAAGAATGAATGACCTCACTAATAGAACTCCACACTGCTATTATTTTGAACATGCCCCTTTCAATTAGTGATTCAATTACACAGAAGCAGCAGCATGCATGTCATAACTGTTGGGTCTGTTGGATTTCTATTACTCTACTACACCTGCTAGTAAATTATTTGCCATGTAGAAATATCATTTCTACCAAAAACAGTGATTGATCAGGTTAGTGATGTCTGACTGCTATTATTTTGAACACAACTGTAGCATCGTTTTACAAAAATGTACTTTGGGGGTTGATCTGTACTGCTACAGTTAGCCCATAGTATGGTTTGCACGGTTTAAGCATCTTAGATATCATCACTTGTGTAGTAGAGGGCTTGAGTTAGAACGTGCCCTCACTTTGTGCCTCCAAGACAACAGGAACTTAGAGGAACACTGTCCCATTGTCACCAGAACTGGTGTTCTCATTTGGAGATTTCCTTTTCAATTCTGTTTTGCTGCCAGCTGCCACTTTGCTTCCATTCTGTCCAAGTCACAACAGTCACCAAAGTCAAGGACAGTAAGATATCCTGGTGGACGTTATGATCTTTTCCTGGAAAAGAACATTTTGCAGGAAATCCAATTTACCTCCAATAATCCTAGTCAACAGATACAGTCATTCAGTAGAGAGCTAATACTATCCAGGTAATAAACAAACAAGTGATGCTGCACTGCTGACACACTGTGCAAAAAAGCATAACTAAATAAAATGTCCCAAATTTAGATCATACATTGTGACATCAAACGATCTTGATAAAATAACAATTCTTCAATAAATCTTGTGGTTTCTTCTTATATTATTGTCCCAAAGCCCATCAAGTGAGATTAAGCGAATTAAAAAACCAGTGCCACCTCCGTGCTCCCAGAACTCTAACCTTAGAGCACATGAAAATGCTCTTTGATAACAAATAGACAGAAAAGATTTTCCACTTGCTTAGTCCATAGCCATGTGGTAGTAATCAGACATCAGACATCTTAAGTGTGCAATTGACTTTCAGATCAGAGCTAGGGATCGATCCATGTATTCAAAGATAAAAACTCCTTAAAGCATAAAATCACCAAATGCAGGCTGTGAATCCCATCAGCTGGTTTCAGTAATCTTGTCTGCTCAGAGCCACGTCCCTTACGCGTTACGTCACACCCACGTGACTTCATCAGAGGGAAGTCCAGGTAATACTGTCGCTATGCTGCAGTCTAAAAGGCCAGATTTTTCTTGAGTTAGTTTTCCCTTACAGAAGGGCTCTTTGCGTGTCTGCAGCCTCTTGCCAACCATTTTGCATTGCACAGTTTTGGTTCCTGAGATGTACATTCTTCTGCATGTAATATTTACTGTAGTCTTGTGTTGGGCAGGCTTGAAAATTACAAGTCAGTAAAGCACAGACTTGTGATTAGTTGTTCTAAGCAAACATTGTTACTGCATAGTTGTACAGGTTGGCCTTTTAGCAGAACTCTGTAAAATTCTCTTACAGGAAATGGAGAAGGAAGCACATATTGATGCCTAACCACACCAATTTTGGGGTCCATAATGGCCCCCTCTTGGTGAGAGAGTAGTAAAAACAAAATATCTGAAAACAGATGCCTATGATTGGTATAAAGTCTGGTACTGACTGAGTTATCCAGCACTTAATTAAGTACCAAAGAAGATTGTCCTTCCTGAGAAGACCTGCATAAAATGAGAAGCGTATATCTAATGAAGTCTGTTGACTCATGTTTTTATTATGCCACTGGCCTTTCTCCCAGTCATAAAATTTATTAAAAGCCAAAACATTTCATTGCAGTTTACCAGTCTTTAGATGTGATGGCTGCTTTAGTTTAAAGGAGAAGTATAGCCAAAGGTATTTTGGCTATGTTTCTCGTAATTTGTTCTGCACTTCTGTGACCCATTTTCAGCCAACAGCAGGCCAATGCCCGTTATTGGCTGATGCCACTGAGTCGGTCGAAGGCTCAGGAAAGATCCCCGACTAGACCAGCAGCTGGCTCAGCCTCTCAGCGAGCTGCCGAGAGCCTGACCCAGCTGCTCCTTCCCCCTCCAGAGCCTGGTCCTCCAGTGAGCACTGGAGGGGCTGAGCAGAGAGCAGATGACCGACAGTCACCAGCTTTCTGCAGGCGGAAGACTGAGAGCTGAGCGATCAGTGGTGTTTGATCACTCAGTTCTTGGTCTTAGAGGCAGCATGAGACCGCTGCAGCTGGGACTGGTGATGCAGCCGTCTAGGTGAATATGATTGTTTTTTTTTTTAAAGCCATGCTTCTCTTTTAAATGTTGTGGTCGTTTCCATTTTAACCTGGTAATTCTGTGAATAACATGCTTCCTTTCCTAGGACAGCAATGCTTACTTCTCCACTATATCTATAGAAGAAGCCTTAGTTACCACCCAGGCTGGACTTCAAACATGTCTTTCTTTGTTCATCTCCATTAAAGTAATAATAAAGTCTTGTTTTTTTTTCCTTTTAAAATACAAACATGTCCTACTTACCTGCTCTGTGCAGTGGTATTGCACAGATCAGCCCTAATCCTCCTATTTTTGGGTCCCCCGCCAGCGCTCCTGGCTTCTCCCTCCTGCTGAGTTGCCTCCAGAGCGAGCAGCTTGGGGTACCCAAGCAGGTGTGCTCCTGAGCCACGGCTCTGCGTGTCCATTCACACACAGAACCACGGCACAGCCTCGCCCCCTCCCTCTGCTGATTGGCTCACTGGCTGCGATTGACAGCTGGAAAAGGTAAAGGGGGGCCGGGGGGGCAGGGTTGGCTGCTGCACACAGGTTTTTTACCATCATGCATAGAATGCATGAAGGTAAATAAACTTTCAGCCTCTATAACTAGTTTAAGTGTGGAATGGGGAGATTAGAAGTTTACACAAGAAATATACCATTGTTTTATGCTTTCAAGATCAGCAGCTATTTTTTGCTTGTTGAATATGTACCTTGCCTGAAAAATAAAAAACGAACACAGCCACCACATCTAAGGTGTGGTTGTAACGGAGCCGACCGCAGTCGACCACAGCTGACCATACAAGACTAGATGACACCAGTCTGTTTGAACATGGAACTCTTTATTTGAAACTCGACTGGCTTTTTATACACTCAGGGGACAAATCCCCCTCCCTGCATAATGACACAGAGCGGGGCAATCTATATTGAGCAAAAAGAGACACACGGGTATTCAAACTTCACACCAGCAGACAGTCCCATAAGGAGGGAGGGCTGCTGGAGACACCCCCCACTAAGCTAAAACACATAAGTCCCATAATAGTTTGCTCCCAAGCAAGACACACAGTAGAACAATGGGATGCAACCACATGGCATTAAACAATCAACAAACCCCCACCCAAATATTAGGACAGATCACCCTGTACCCCTAACAGGCACAGGGTGACTTACACATAATAGGGATATGGGGAGCTGAGACAGGGGTCTCCCCACCTCTTCAAAGTGAGCTGTGTTCCATGGGCTCCCCACCCAAAGTGACTCCTGTCACAGTGGTAAACTTCAATATATCTTAGATTGTAAGCTCCCAGGATCAGGCCCTCCTAACCCTCTTGTATTGAACTATATTGTTGCTGTATTGTGTCTCCCTTTATATTGTAAAGCGCTGAGCAAACTGTTGGCACCATAAATCCTGTATAATAATAATATATTACATTTTTGTTCCCTTGTTTAGGTGTCCTTTAAATCCTGCGGGTATAATTAATGTCATTTTGCCCTTTCATTGTCCAATCACAGGCTGGGTGGTTCTGGGACCACACTGAGTTGCTTTACTGCAGAATAGTCTGCAAAGAAGTCACAGATTTGGCATAGATCTCAGGCTACCTATTCCAGCTATGTATTTAGCAGTTTTCCCTGGAATTTATCGTAAAAAGAGTCTTCAGTTTTACCCAAAGTGCAAGTGTTACTTTGCCTTACTGGCCTGCAGTGCAGTAATAAAAGATAATGAATTGCCATCCACTTGAGTTTGTTATGATGGCAACCCACATACGATAAATTAATTCTCTTGGCCTACATTGTAACAAAAAATAAATGTATTCACATCTAGCTGGTAATTAAATATGTAGACGCTCAATCAGAAGTCATTGTGAGATTGTGTACTGCAGCCACATGAAAAAATGATTATCTGCTTGGATCAATGAGCTCTCGAAGCCTTTTCAGCTTTCCGACTCTTTGTGATGATTTACGTTGTGTGCTGGAGATATATGATCACTACAGAGAATGTCTTGAAGAGGTAATGCAGATCAAAGCCCCGTTCAGCCATTGAAAACTATGAGATCTATCAAAGGGTATGTCTGTTCCCTTGATATCTGCTTATTCTTCTATAAATTCACCTGCTTATGCTGGAAAAAATATCAGCTTCCCATCATATCTAGGTATATAATGTATATCTAGGTATATAATGTATATATACTGTATCTAGGTATATAATGTATATCAGGGGCGGACTGACCATTTGGAAACTCGGCACTGCCCGAGGGCCCAGGGTCAGTAGGGGCCCCATGAGATGCCACTGGTACCTTTTTCATAGGCTTTTTTGAGTTTGGGCAAGGACACAGGGGCTTCATGATCCCCTATTGCCCGGGGCCCCATGAGTTGTCAGTCCGCCCCTGATGTATATATACTGTATATATTTGGGTATATACTGTAAATATATACAGATTGCAATTTAAAGTTTATTTTTTAATAACAAATAGGTTATACTTATCTACTACCCTGGCCCTGAACCTCCTCTTCTCAGGTCCCCTACTAAGACTCTTGGCTCCTCCTCTCCAGCGAGTGCCTGCATAGGAAACTGCTTCCTATGGGACACTCGTGTGTGCTCAGTCCCACGCCCCACTGCCTACGTCTATAGACACAGACAGCAGGACACGGCCCCGCCCCTGGCTCCCTCGTCACTGGCTTTGATTGACAGCAGTGGGAGCCAATGGCTTCCCCTACCTCAGCAAAGCCTGTGAGACCATGAAGTGAGTGGAGAAAAGAGCTGCAGAATGGCACAGTGTGGTATTGAATGAAGAATCAGGTAAGTAAATGGGGGGGTGAGGGGGCTATACTGATGCCTAAAGGAATGCATTTAGGTAAAAAATGTAACCACTAAAGCTAAATATACAATTAAAATACATATGTGAGAGTTGTTTTTCCTGCCAGAAACCGAATAAGCATGATCAGCCACACAGTTGTCAATTATGGTTGTGAAAGCTGGACACTACGGAAACAGGACAGAAAGAAGATCGACTCATCGATGCTTTGGTGCTGGAGAAGGATCCTATGTGTGTCGTGGACAGCCCATAGTACCAATAGATTGATTTTGAAAGAGACCAAACCTGCTATGTCACTAGAAGCCCAAATGATGAAGTTACGACGGTCCTATTTTGGTCACACTGCTAGAAGAGAGAGATCACTGGGGAAGGAAATAATATTTGGGAAGATTGGAGGAACCAGGAGAAGAGGGAGAGGAGCTACTAGATAGTTGGACACATTGACTACAGCTGTGGGGATGACACTGGAGGATCTTGCCAGATTTGCACAAAGTCAGCTTCTTTTTAGAGCTTGCGTTCATCAAGTTTCTAGGACTAATGCAGGCCATAGATGGGTCAAAAATCGGCCGATTTTTGTCCGAAAAAAAAAATCAGACGATTTTTGCACCGTTAATGGGTTAATTGGTCGGCTGTTTTTCTGGATTGTGGCACATTTTTTAATCAGTAGTAGTAGTAGTAGTAGTAGTAGTTGGAAAACCCTGATTTTGCTGATTGGCCGATTTTCGCGGCAATGATGGGCAAATTGGCCGGTCTTTTTACCGATTAAAAAATCTGCGCATGAGCCGTGACGTGCAAGAAAAAAAGAAGAAGAAAAAAAAGAAGAAAAAAAGAAGAAGCAAAAGCAGAAGAATTCCAGTCTGCTATTATATTTGACATGAAAAAGTATTGCGATTGCAACAATGTATCTATTTGTATCCGAATAAAAATATTGTATCCGAAATGGATACAAATAGATACAATGTTGCAACCGCTATACTTTTTAATGTCAAATATAATAGCGGAGCTCTCTGCAGGGACAGGAGTAATTAAATGCCGGCCGTAGACGGGACGAAAAACATCGGACAATTTTTCTTACCGTTGGTGGTAACGTCGGCCTATTGAACGACCGATTTTTCGTTTTTTAAAAAAAAAAAACTAGGAGGCTAAGGGATCATCTAAGGGAACACCTTTACAATATTAGCACTGATAAGCACTGGTGGGAGGCACTGCTGGGCACTGGTGGGAGGCACTGATGGGCACTAGTGGGTGGCACTACTGGGTGGTACTGCAGGGCACTGATCATCAGTGCCCTGATGATCAGTGTAAGTCTGCTGTCTGATAGCTGTCGGTTATCGGCAGTACTTTCCTCACACTGTGACAGCGTGAGCAAAGTGCTGCCGATAACCGGCAACTGTATTTACTCCCTGATCTGTTGTGTAATTGGACACAGCTGATCGCGTGGTAAAAGGCCGCTGTGATTGGCCTTTTACCTTATCACATGAGCAGCTGTGTCCATAGGACACAGCGATCACAGAGATCACTCGGTGCACGGGGGGGGGGGGGGGGGCGCGTTCTGGGAGGACATCATATGACGCCCTCCCAGAACTGGGTAACCATGTTGTAGCCGTCATTCAGCTATAGCACTGTTACCAAGTGGTTAATTAGAGAAACAGTATATTGGGAGAACAACTAGGAGGCTAAGGGATCATCTAAGGGAACACCTTTACAATATTAGAAAGGGACCTAAAGAACATTCGGTTTCAAGACATTTTAGGGAATGCCATCAAAAAATCCTTCAGGTATAAAATTTTCAGGGATAGACCTTTTGGAGGGAAAATAATAAGTGTAGGGCAGTATCTATGCTTGAAACCAAGTGGATTTATGAAATGCACACCTTGTCCCCTTTCGGATTAAACATTGACATAGATATTAATTGTTTTATTGATAACAGCTAAAAACATACATGGATAGTTCTATAATAGCTATTTATGTTTGACACCATGTCATTGTAATTATTGTTATTTATTTATTTATATTTACATTCGACTGCCCATAGAGCAGAACGGGCTGTGTCCATGTCTGCTCTGCATATTGCGGCTTCGCTTAGCTCAGCTCAGCTGGAGAACAGCAGATAGATCCCCTGCTGAGTGAAATGGATCTGGCCTGTGTAATTTTTTCAGTAAAAATCATGAAATGGAACAAATAATATTAATTGCCAGAAAAAAACCTCAGCGCACTTGCACCCTTTCACATTAGGAGTCAGTGTAAAAGTGCCTTCTTATATTGGTAGTCGGTGTAGTGGTTCCATGCATTGGTGGAAAGTGGGAGAAGAATGCTGACATTTTTGACTAGTGGGAAAACTGCTTCCCTTACAGCTAAAAAAAAATGTATATCAGTGGTTACTGGGAGTTTTATACTCTTCATCGCTCAAGGAACCCCTAGCAATCTCTAAAGGAACCCCAGGAACCCTGGTTGAGAAATTCTGCTGTATATCATCGCCATAGCTGAGAAGTCCTGAACCTGAAACAAAAGTTCTTCCACAATGCAGTAGGAACCTCCCTATCCTGTCTTACATGGTGTGGAAGGTGGACATGGACACAACATTTTTTTTTTAGTGTCATGTCCCAGAAAGCGTATTTCCTGCTTTTCCTTTACAACAGAAGGCGGTATTAATACAGGATCAGGCTTTTCAATCAAACCACAATGTTTTTGTATCCTTAAATATATAATTCTCTGTATGAAACACAGAAAATAGTTCTCTATTTTTAGTACAATTGGCATTAAATAAATCTGGTGATGGCTCCACGGTGAAGAGTCATCTATTTGAGTACACCAGATTGCTGCAGAAACAATAGCCTAATTACTCGCTGGCATCTGCGGCTCAACATAACAGGCAGCAGTGTATTCCAAGAAAGTAGAGGAAATCCAGTGCCAGGTTTGAAGCTGCAAAATTAATTAATGGAATGAAAAACAACAAGGAACAGGCCACAGAAGCCTTCAACATTCTATCAGGTTTAAAGTTTTCTGAAAGGAATGTTAAATGAAAACCTGTATTATCCAATTAGTAATCCTCCCCGAGATGTTATAGCAGGGTTATATTTTAGCACCCTGAACCTTGAGCTTCTCTTTTATAGAATAACTACGAAACATGATTTCTTGATTTTCTTTACCACCAATGAAATTTATTTGATGACCCATTCCTATTTCTTTTTGGATCCACATGTACATAACCCATAGCCTTAAAGTAAACTTGGTGCAAAGATGTACATTTTCAAGCTTATCTCATGAATCCCCCTCTAACTTTTAACCTCTACGACCGCTAACTAAGCCCTGGGCTTAGTGAAAAACAAATCTACCTAATAGCCCCTTTACTTACCTAAATCTGTAGTCAGGGCCAGGACAAGGGGCCGGCAAGAGGGGCAGCTTCCCCGGGCGCAGTGAAGCAAGAAGGGAAAGAATGGATGCAGGGTGGTACACCTATTCTTAGTCATATATGAACAATGGGGGCGCAGTTCTTGAGCCTTGCCCTGGAAGCTGGATGATCCTGTCCAGGAACTGTCTGTAGTCATCTAATGCACTGGAGGCTTTCTTTTGAGTGCTCTCCTGTCACGCCTGGGTGAGGTGGACATTTCCAATTGGTTGTCCAGGACCTTTTATGCTTCTGAAGACTGCAGTGTCATAATTGATGACGTCACGACGAGGGACAGCAACAAGATTAAGTTGATGCATCATTGCGCCTACTCTCGTAAGAAGCATAGCAGAGGGCTGTGTGACAGTGAACTTGTGAGTTTAAAAGGGGGTTTTATATGTTTTTTATGAATGAGTAGATGGGAGTAGATGAAAAACAACAGGGTTATCTTTTAGCACCCTGAACCTTGAGCTGCTCTTTTATGGAATAACTACGAAACATGATTTCTTGATTTTCTTTACCACCAATGAAATTTATTTGATGACCCATTCCCATTTCTTTTTGGATCCACATGTACGTAACCCATAGCCCTAAAGTAAACTTGGTGCAAAGATGTACACTTTAAAGCTTATCTCTTGAATCCCCCTCTACCTTTTAACCTCTATGACCGCTAACTAAGCTCAGGGCCAGGACAAGGGACCGGCAAGAGGGGCAGCTTCCCTGGGCGCAGTGAAGCAAGAAGGCAAAGAATGGATGCAGGGTGGTACACCTATTCTTAGTCATATATGAACAATGGGGGCGCAGTTCTTGATCCTTGCCCTGGAAGCTGGATGATCCTGTCCCGGTACTGTCTGTAGTCACCTAATACACTGGATAGTCTTCTTCCTCACTGCAGAATTGGAGGGTCCTTCTTTTGAGTGCTCTCCTGTCACGCCTGGGTGATGTGGACATTTCCTATTGGTTGTCCAGGACCTATTATGCTTCAGAAGACTGCCTCGTCATGAT